AAAAAATCTTTAATAATAAAATTATACGAAAACATATATAAATAACTATTACCTTCCTTTGTGCTTTTGGAGCAACAGGATTAAGTTCCCCTTCAAATGCTTCCATTAATTCTTCTGCTAAACCAGGACTTTCTTTTAAACATTCAAATAAAACCAAGACAGAACTAGATCTTTCTTGAACTTCTAAATCTCCACTACATACGAACGCAGCTATTTTATCCTTCAATGCAAAAATCTATAAAATACAATAAAATTTATATAATTTTAAATTAAACATTCAATACAAAACATCAATAATTATATAAATAATAATCATGTAATATATAGCAAATACAATAATATATTTTTGTTTCATATAATAAAATATTAGTGAATCTATTTTGAATAACTGACGTATATACAAATACTGTATAAACAAAAAAATCGTAAATGTGTTATGATAAAAATTAATTTTAAAAAATTATTATTATTGTAGAATATCTCAAAGAGAAAATATAGTATAACATACTTGTTCCATAGTCTCTGTATCTCCATCTTTTTCAGCCTTACATAATGTTGCAGTTGCAAGTTTTAAAATATTATGAACATAAACAGCTTGAATATGTCCTGGTAAACTGGAAGCTTGTGATCTTAACATTGATTGCAATGTTGCTATAGGATCCTCTAGTTCGCTATTAATGTAATATATTATCAATTACGCTTTAATAAATCAAATTGATATGTGTAAAAAACTGTAGAATACCTAGAAAATTCTCCACAAATCCAGGCAGCAGCATATAAAACTTCAGACATTGTTGCTCTCGGTTGACCTGTTAAAAGGTATGAATTTTCTAGCAATAAGGCACATTGTTGAACTGCATATTTTCGTATAGCTTGGACACGAATTGCTACATCAAGTAATTGGGTTGCTACTAATGGTCCATGTTTGGTACCTTCCATTTTTGTAAGTTCAACCAATACAGATATGTACCTATAAATTTGAATAAATATTATGTAAATAAAAAACAATATATTATATTTTAACAGATATAAAGTGATCACTTTACCATTCAAAATAAGTAACAAATTGGTAATTATTTTGTGAACAAATCTGAATAATTTTTGAGAGTAATTCATCTCTATAAGCAGTGCCTTCAGCTTTATCCATGTGCACCATTAACTTTTTAACTATTTCCATTAAATTCTTTTTCGAAACCATTCCATATAGTAAATCCAAGGCACGCAATCTTATACTTTCATCTTTATCATCCAAGCATTTCATTATAAGATCTTTATGGGCTTGTACACTTTTTGGATGAGTTTTCAAAATTTTTGACATTGCTAACAGTCCCAAATACTTCAAATTTTGATCAGAATCTTCTATCAATATTCTCAATTTTTGAACACATAACTGTATTGAATCAGAATGGTTTGGCATACCAGATGAAATTGAAATTAATACAGCTATTACTGTATTTATACATTCGTACAGTAGAGACATTGCAGATGTACTAAAAATCAATAAAATATTATAATTAATATAAAATTATAATGACTGTATAATTAATTGATCATTTGAAAAATTAAATAAAATTACATAATTTATTGTCTGGCAGAAACTTGAAAGAAAAGAAGCTAAATAGATTTTCCATGTTAAAATCAGCAAAATATTGAACTACTTTACAAGCAATAAACAAATTTGCAAACAAATATATTGCTTTACATATAGACGAAAATACATGAAATACCTGTGTATCAAATTTGTAAGGGGTTCTATTAATTTTTTGCCAAGCCTAGGTTCTAGAGGTGTCAATGCGCCAAACTGGAAATATAATTGCAATCTAAGAAATATAATGATATTTGACAGATGAATGTTTCTAACCATAATTTACACTTTACAACATATAATATACCATTCATGGATACAATTAGAAATAAATAAATAAATAAATAAATAATGCAAGCTACTAATGCATACTACAACTAATGTTTATAATTTACTATATTTTGATAACAAAAAAGAAAAATAATCGACTAATATGAAAACCTTGAAATCAGGTCAATTAGTGGTTGAGTAAGTCGCCGACCCATTTTCGGCTCAATCAGTGTTATAGTGGAGAACTGAGCATGTGAAACAAGACCAATATTATTTGGCTCATGTTAAACATATGTGTATGCACGTATATGTGTGAATACAAATATTCATTAATTATAAAAATGAGCCTACATCTCCATTAATCTGTTTCACTTTGTTAACATAAGATTAAAAGTAAATATTCACTTACCAATTTAATAATTTTTATCAGCATCCAATTGTTAGTGGATGTAGTCATAAGTTTAAAAAAGACAGGTGCTAAACTTAAATAATTTTTGGGATTTTTCCTGGCTAATTCGCAAACTACATTAACAGCAGCACTTTGCACGCCACTGTCAGGATCTTCCAACTTTTCTTTCAATCTAGGAAATGCAGGCCTCAAGGCCTCTGGAAATCGCAAGAAAACTTTATACATCATTAGTACGGCTTTCTTGCGTAAATATGGCTTTGTAGATGTTAATAACGTCATTATATCATTAACTAAATCACGTGCAAGATCTGAACTTATGAAACAAGAGAGGCCACTCAGTGCCAAACCAGCATCATACTGATTTTGACTATTTAAATCTTTACGAATCATATTGGTTGTTAACATCAAAAGCTGAAATGAAACAATTTGCATTTGTTAAATAAACGTTGATTGAATTATTCTATATAATTTATAACGTTTAGAAATCTGACAAATTTTCTTTATTTATCACAAAAAGACTTGCAAAATAATTTAATATTTACTTACATAAAGTATAAATGTTCATTCAGTGAAAATAACAAAATATTCACTGAATATAATAATACTGATTAAAAGAAATAATTAAATTAATTTAATAAATACGTTATGAAAACTTTTGAGATACATATTTTTTCATAACTATAAAAATTATTGAAAAGGTCGATTTGCAAAATAAAATTCACGTATCATGTGACAAAGCATTCAGAATGTTTATCAGATTTCTTTAAAACTTAAATTGGGTCTCAATTTTGAAATATCATACTTCTGTATCTGCATGAAAACTTTGACTTGCGGCCAAATATCCAATTCGTTTATATGTAAACTTCGCAGATGACATCACCTCAATTATGTTGAAACCAGCCCAGCTAATGTCATATCCAAACATTTCAAGCTAAAAAAATTGAAACATACAACATTAATGATATCAAAAATATATCTAATAACAAATTTATATAAATTCAACTTACATATGTTAGCTTTGCCACAGCGTTTGCTTTGACAGCTACATTGTCTTGACGCAATTCTTGTTTAATTTCTTCTATACACTGTGCAATGTATTTTGCCTACAACATGTATTTCGATAAAAATTTGCATTAATTCAAATGAGCTTATGCCTCATGTAATGAATGATTTAAAGTAATATATAAGATGTATAAATTTACCTCATTCTCTTTATTGTTCCTAATCCCACGTACTAAATCGGTGAGATTCTTATCGAACATACGTTCAAGATTTCCTTTTACTTTACGTAGGGCCATTATGCCATTTAAAAAATAAAGGATGTATCACTTAAATACTTTATTTCTGCATTCGTCCAATATCCCAGCTTAATCGGATTACTTGGTCCGATTGCATTACCGTATGTTAGAAACCTTAAACTTCAATTACAGTCTTACCACAAACGAAGCATAGAATAGACCCATCACCTTATGGAAATTGCTGTCATATGTTCTGAATTACCGACCGTGTAAAACAATTGGAGGTTTTGTTATGCCCTCCACGATATGAACGGCGAGCGTAGGAATTATATTCACAGACGAGATATATGAATAGACATTGCACAGAATGTATTTTTTCGGCCACGATTTCGGTGCAATCTGTGCCACGTTACCATTTTCATGTCACATTCTGTCGTACCGATTCAGGCAGATTTTGCACTGCAACACCAACGAGATCACAGACGAGGTATATGAAGTATATACCTCGTCTGAGCCGCCATAAATCAAAGAATTTTCATTTGCGAAAAAAATTAATTTAGAAAATTAAACTGCAAACTTTTGTAATTTTTGTCTTGTTAATTCGATCTCCAGCTTTCCTTTAATACCCTATTTGAAGCGTAAAATGCTCAAATAAAGATTTTTGAAAATAATTAGTACCTCTTACTGATAAATGGCGCCATGTCTTATCTTCATTCCAGATTTCTGTTACATCGTTACCCCAGATACAT